TCTCCCTGGCTGGGGATCCCGAGATCATGGTCACCGATGGTTAGAGACACTGATCGATATGGCTGGACGCCGCAAACAGTGGCGCTCATGCATCTACTCATTATTCTTATAACTTCAGTCGATATAAATACGCTATCTTCCGCTTGAATTCACTCTCAATATTCCGATCTTCATTTTGCTGTTTTAACCAAATGGGCAACCAAAAGACAAGAACCAAACCCGGCCAACAAAAGTGCACGATTAATGGTTGTAAGAGCTGAACTCAACTGTACGTTAATCTTCTGAACAACGAACGGTTTGGTGATTGATGTGATTTACTGATGGGCTGCAGGAATGAATTTGCAGTCGTTCTGATGGATTTTCAGCAGCTTATCTCCTTTGATTCGGACGGTTTGTACCACCCACTGCGTCCAGGCCATATGTCTATCTGTGTGGTATGAGTTTTCTTTTTAACATCGTCGGACATACGGTTCGAAGTATCCGTTCTCTCGAAGAAAAACATCTGTAATGTGATTCAGATTTGTAAGACATGACTTCGCACTTTTACAAGCAGACTGAATATGGCCAAGCTTACCGCAATTGTGACACTTGGCATTACGAAATCGACAGGTGAACCGCGAATGTCTTTGACCACAGGAATTGCATGTGTTTCAGCGTTGAATTCGTTGGTCATTGTGGGCTGGAGAATTGATGTTGCTTGGTGTTTTCGAGCTCTTTTCCAAAAACCGCTTTCGTCGGGATGGTAACTGTTTGGAATTGTCGACACTGAAAAACACCATGGGTTCATAACGAACAATGGACTGAAATGTGCAATCATACATGAGCAAGAGCTTTTACTGGATTTCTGAGCAATTAATACCAGCAATTAATCGATCAAGCAGCTGGATTTGAAGTTGATCTCCGCATTTACAACGCGATGCTTGAGTTTGCAGCTGGCGAATAAATTCACGTATAGGTTGGATTCTATCACGCGTGAGCGAAAGAAAATCAGCTCTATCAGCGACTGTGAAATCAGCTGGTTGTAGATGTTTCAACGGCAAGGTTTTCAAGGATTCATACGAAAATAAATAAAGCTCACTGGCATGTATATTAAAGTTTGAATATTCCCATGATAGCATTGAGAAAACGAGTCGGTGAGCGAACAATTGTTTTCG